GTGGCTAATGAAAGATGTGTACACGTGGGTAATATGTTGTGATGTGATTAGGAGACGCGACAGATAATTGATTTATATTCATACTGCGACCATACTCTCTTGACATTGTTGTTATTATAATATACGTGCGTAGTGGTGAGCACCTCGTTTTCCTATTGTGTTCATCCCTACCTGCTCTTCATGGATGCAGGTTAAGCAGTTGGCGGGTGACGAAGCGAGACGAGTGGGTGGTCTTTTGTTTACTTTATTGCTTCCGCATTATTATGAACTATGTTGAGATGTTTTGAGATATACTGAACAACCTTCAAAATTTTTTTGATATTTGGATATTGGGATGCTTTGGAATGTTCATGATTGCTGGTTAAGCTGATTATTTCATGGAAAGTTTTGAATTCGGTTAATGAAAACCGTAAGTGAAAAATCGGGTTTATGAATCCCCGTGGGTCCAGATAAGTCTTGGACTAAGTAAAATGTTTTGGTTAATGCCTTTGATTTCAAAAATGAATTCGAAAAATTTGTTCTGATTTTTAGAAAGCCGAAATTTCTTTAAAAATTAAAGTGGGGTGTTACAAATATAAATCAAATTATTTTTATTTAATATATGCAAAGTTAGAAAATAATACATTTCTACATAAATTCTATATTATTAATTTATGAATTAAATTACTTGAAAATTAATAAATATAATACACTGACTATATAATATGATACAATAAAAATTTTTTGTTAAAAAAAATTGAATCAAATATATGAAGTTGTAAATAATATCAGTTTATACATATATTATTTTAAAATATAATTAAAAATATCTTTTTGACAATTTTAGAGTAAAAGTGCGGGCACCATTTGAATTGATTTTCATCATACATAATTTCACAATAAAAATGTAAATTATTTATTTTTTATTTTACAAATATTAATATATTTGCGTACTCGTGTAATAAACTAGTATTGTACTAATACACTAGTATTGTACTAGTATTAGAATAAAGAGTTAATGTTTAGACAAAAAATGATTTTTTTTTAAAAAAAAAATAGTTGATTTTTTTTTTAAAAAAAAAAACAACTAGTGAGTGTCCCATGAAGTGCACGACGGACTTGTTTCTTAAAACTTTATTTAAAGATTTATTTTAAAATATATTACCTGGCTAACCATTTATATTAGTATATATAATATTTTAATATATATATATATTTCTTGATATAGAAAAAATAATAATTTCACTTATTTTTGTTCATCATAGTACTCAACTATTCTTTTTTTCTAAAAATT